AATTTTTTTACTAAGATCATGGAAGATTGATGCTTTAGAAACCAAACCAAAAATGATTTTTTTGGTTCGATTTTTTAGTTAAAATGAAATTCTTTTCTCAAATTATCTCGTGTGTGTGTGTGAAGAAAAAAAAGATATATCAATTGTATGAATTTTATCTTGTGAAATTTTTATTTGAGGAAGTTTTGCATGAGTTTTAAATTAAAAACAATTACCTATAATACTAAAAAGAAATGGGAAAAACACCGTGAAGGCACCGTGTGTTTTATTATTCCCCATCTCATAAATAACCATTAACATACACTAAAACAATACTATGCATTTTATTTTGCAGTGGTTTTTTTTTTTTTTTTTTGTATTTAGAGTTATTTTTGGTCATTTATATGCAAGTTTACTCAAAATGTTTGCTTTGGTACTTGATTTTTTAAAACAATTTTGTTTTGGTACCAATTTCATTCAAAGATCTTAAAATATTTGAGTTTTTTAACTTGATTTGAATTTTGTGTGTGTTTTATTTGCATTAAAATGATTTTTAAGGTTCTAAAAAAGTTTAATTGCCTTTATTTATGTGATTTTGGATAAAAACAATACTAAATTTGGCTTTAGAGAGGCACATAATTAATAACATGTTTTTCCAACGATATTTCTAGCAAACTAAAGTTTGTCGGAAAATTCCGGATAGACGACACACCATTTGTTGCATAGCAAGTGGATGTCGTGTCGTCCATTTTTTTTCAAGAGCGAACTCTATATGAGTTTAATTCTTTAGGCCCAAACGCACAAGCTTGCACCCCAACTCGGACCCTTTATTATTTTTTCTTTTCCTTTTTTTTAATATTTTATTTTTTCCTATGAATTTTTGGTCAAAGATTATGGAATATTGATACTATAAAAATCAAATCGAAAATGATATTTTGGTTCAATTTTTTGGTCAAAATTGAATTGTACTCACAAATTGTGTATGTGTCCGTGTGTAAAATCTATCTCATAAAAAGTTTATTAATTTTCATATAAGTTTTGCATGAGTTATAAATTCAAAAAACAACTACCCATAATGGTTAAAAAAAAAACGGGAGAAAACACTATGGACTCATTATCCATTTCACTATTCTTTTTCTCATAAATCACAATTCACGTATACTAAAAAATATTGTGTCTATTGTTATGAAAATTCGATTTTTAAATTAAATCGAGTGTAAAATTTCAAAAACTGAACCGAAATTGAAATTATTTCATTTCTTGTTTTAATTTTGCTTTAAAAATCAAATTGAAATATCAATCCGAGTTCACTTTACTTTGGTTTTTTTGGTTAAAATCCAATTATGCTCACCTTTAAATCTAATGTCACATGAGCAATAATTGTACATTTCATTGCTCTCTATCTCAAAAATTACTATTCACACACTAAAAAATACTATGCATTTCATTGTGTAAGTGGCCTTTTTTTTTTTTTTTTGTAATTTCAAAGCTATTTTTAGTCAATTATACGCAATTTTATCCAAAATTTTTGCTTTAGTCCTTGATTATTTTAGAGAATTTTGTTTCAGTACATAACTTCATTTGTATCACGGTTTAGTCTTTAATTGTGTGGAGGAGAGAGAAATTAGCGGCGAGGCTGATTTCGATAACTTTGACTCTCAATTTTGGCTTCAATTTATTTCATTTATAAAAAAAACTGTTTATAGTGGTCACACATCATTAAATGATTGGAGAAAGTAGATCGAACCTCCAAAATATTTTAAGTTTAATTTGAATCTTTGTGTGCATTAAAATAGCTTTTGAGATTCTATTATTGGTCATATTTATGTAATTTTGAGGTGTTTTAAAATAAAAGCAATACTAAATAAAACTTCAAAAAGGCCAAAAATTAAAAACTCTTTTTTAGGGCAACGTTTTTAGCACACTAAAATTTGTTGCAAAATTCCGATTGGACGACACTCGTCCGTTGTGTAGGAAATGGGCGATGTTTGTCTATTCTCTCTCTCTCTTAAAAGCAGGCCCTTGTGGTCCTAGGTTTTCATACCCAAATGAGCAGGTGTGCCTTAACTCAACTCCTTTTCTTTTTGTAATTTATTTTTTTTATTATGAATTTTTGGACAAAGAATATCAATCATTATTTTTTGAATTTCACATGTAACTTGATGAAAAGTATTTTTTAAATATTTTAAAAAATACTTTTAATCTTTTGATTAAATTTATAAAATAAGTTTTTAGTTAAAAATCTATAGATTATTAAATTTTTGTTTTAGATTATTATAAGTTTTTAGTTAAAAATCTAGATAAAGAAGAATACTTATTTTTTCATGGATAATTTAGGGAAAACATAATGAATAATTAGTCAAGGATAAAATTTTGATAAAAAAAAGCATAAAATTGAATTGATTTATTTATTTATTTTTGATTTGATATATTTTGAGAGACTTACGAGTATAACGCAAGCCATCAAATTAAAATGATTTTTATAAATAATTTTATATATTATATCTAACTTGTATCGTAGCACGGATAAAAAACTAATATGCATTTATAATAAATCATAATTTTATGAGATATTGGAGAAAACCATTAAAAAATGAGTCTAAATTTTACTTTTTCATCACTAAAAATCCACATATTTTTAACCATAGCTTTTGTCTCAACTTTGGTACTTTCTTCCCTTCATGCTGTTTTTCAAAAATAATAATAATAATAATAATAAATAAAATAAAAATAAATCAATAATTTAGCAACAATATATTCTAGTCTGGTGCGGCTATTCAATTTCTAATTATTTTTTAAGAGAAGGACGGTTTTCTCTTGGTCTTCGTAGTGGGATGAAGTAGCAAATAAACATGTAGATAAGACAAGGCAAGATTGGAAAATTTAAAGAGAAGGATTGGAAAATTTGAGAATCAATTCGACGGTAATTTCGTAATTTTTTATAATTTTTTTGCCCTTTTTTTCACATGATAAATTAATCTAACGTGCTATGCCATGTTAAATTTTTCATAATAGATGTCAATTTTGATAGAAAAATTGACCAGAAAACAATCAAAGATATTACATCAAGAAAAATTCAAAAGTAGAAAAATGTGATGAATAAAAAATAATCTTTAACTACTTAAACAAGTAGTATTAGATTCGAATCTTTGTGTATACTATAAATTTTTTTGGATAACTGTATTTGTTTTGTGCGTCGGACAAAATATCAAAAGATTAGTTTGAATTTTTAAATTTATGATACCCTTAGAATAAAAAAAGATAATTACCAGAAAAACCTTATAAAAAAATCTTATATTTAAAAAACTCATAAATTTATTTTTAAATCTCCTAAACCTAAAATAGTATTTTTCTTACCAAAACAACCAATATTGTTAAATATTGGTTGTTTTGGTAAGAAAAATATTATTTTAGACTCGGTGAGATTTAAAAATATTATTTTGTGTTTGAGATATTTAAAAATAAAATAGTAAATTTTTTAGATAGAAGATTTTTTAGAAGGTATTTTGGTAATTATCTCTAGTTTAAATGAAACCATGCATTATCTTTCAAGATATGTATTTCTATTATAGATGATCATGTTTTATTTAATTAATGCACCAAACTATGTTATACATTCATCTTGTAATTTAATTTAATTGTTTGATAAAAAATGTTGAGTTTTGATTAATTAAAAACTAGTATTACCGATGATATATTTTTTTTCTATCAATGTATTAGGATTTAAGAAATCACTAATGTTCATAATCTAAGTATTCTTATTTTTCTGATTTGTATGATAACCTTTTGATTAAATTACAAGAGAATAAAAAGAGTCTCATTTCATTAATATTAATTAGTTAAATTGCATCGTTTGCTATAGTTACTAGATAATAAAATTAATCTCGTAATTAATGAAACCAACGGTTGATAGAAAAAAAAAACTCTAATATAAGGAATTTTTTAGTATGGTAAAAAAATAGTCGAATGTTAGTGTTTAAAAATTTTCTTTTCTAAAAAATCCATGAATTTATTTTTTAAATCTCTCAAATTGAAAAATAAAAAAATTATCTTACCAAAAGATTTAATTGTTAACTAGAGTTAAATTAGAGGTTAACTATTGGGTGTTTTAGTAAGAAAAATATTAGTTTGTATTTGAGAAATTTAAAAACAAATTGATGGATGACTTGGATATAAGATTTTTTTAGAAGATTTTTCTGGTAATTATCCCTAAAAAAAAATTGATATTACGTACTGTGAAAAATATACCCATAATTCTATACGGTTCTAAATGTTGATCCTCTTTACAACAGGTTAAGCGTGACAAATATGGTAAAGTTTGTGCATCTATTAAATTGTTATTGGCTGTAATTAGTGATGTTACTGTATCGATTAAAGAAATAATAATTCAAAGATTATTAGAAATTGCCTTTATAATGTACCATTGGAAATATCCTATATATAATCGAAGATTTTAGGAATTGAAGATTTAAGGTGACCATACCAGGAATGGCTCAAATAATCCCTCATAGCTCTCTTCTGCCTTGTACAATATTGGTGATCCATTAGTCCCATCCGTGTCATTTCGGTCACAGCAATTTATGTGGCCCTTGTTAAAGGTTTTTGGGATTCTATTTTCGTGTTTAAGGTTGTTGCTCTCCATGCAATGCCTAACATTTCCAGTCTTTTTTTTTTTTTGAAAAAAAAAACAGAGATCTTATTTTAGCCTGCTTGTATTATAGATTCTCCTCCTAATCTGAAGTTTTAAACACTTTTAATGCATAAAGATGATTGTATTTAGTCAGAAATCATATTAGGAGTTGAAGCTGCAAACTAAAGCATTTTAGTATTCAAAGCATCATATAAGTACACACTAATCTCATTGGCAAGAGGTTTATTAAGTGACTAAAAAGTACATGTAACAAAGAACAAAAATAGTCTCCATGGCTATAAAATCATTTAACACATTGATAGAAATTAGTGTTGCATTTGCTCCCTCGAATCTCCATCTTTCTTCATCTATAGATTTCAATCACTACAGCTTAGTAGGAGTAGTTCTTGACGTACATTCCAGTCTTGGCTTCATCTGACTCTCCCTCACCGGTGTACTTGCCAAGCTGAGCAAGAGAGTTGGCCTTGGCACGGATGAGAAGTGTTTCCTGAGCTGCCTTAACGTTCTCTGGCCTGCCTCCCCATGTCTTCAAGCAAGTGTTCTGGAGAGCTCTGGCATATGAGAATGACACGTGCCATGGGTTTGGAGATTGGTTCATTGCGTTGAGGTTCAGGGTTGCTTCAACCTCAGATTGGCCACCAGACAAAAACTGCTCAAAAGAATAATCCATAATCAGTACATGTTTCACTATTGCTAAGCAGCTCTCCTGCCTAAGCACGTTTAATTTGGACTAGGAAAATGGTTTTAACACTTCACGCAGAAAGATAGTAAAACTATGAAAGTTGAAACGGAACTTACCATGATTCCAGGGACGGCTGGGGGGATTCTTCTGTGGAGGAGCTTGAGGGTGTATTCAGCAACTTGGTCGGGGGTGGCCCTGTCCTTGCATTCAGCACCGGGAGTGACCATACTAGGCTTGAGGAGGATACCCTCAAACATGACATTGTTCTCTGCCAAGTAGAAGAAAACCTCAGCCCAAACCTTCTGGGCTACTTCAAAAGTCCTCTCAATGCCATGCTCCCCATCAAGCAAGATTTCTGGTTCCACAATTGGGACCAATCCATTGTCCTGCAAAATCCAAGTAACAAAATTTTCTCAATCAGCAAAAAGAGATTAGAAACAACAGGTATCGATTCAGAAATTTGTTTGAGACACTATACTTGAGAAATGGCAGCATAGCGGGCAAGACCCCAGGCAGCCTCCTTCACTGCCAAGGCAGATGGGCCGTTGGGAATGCTCACAACAGTACGCCTGATCAACGAAAGTAAGCATTCAGTTAATTAGTTACATCGCAAAGTAATGGTTACAGAAAGTTGGCATTTTCCGAAGCATAGAGAACATATTTTTAAGTACCATTTGGCGAAACGAGCACCCTGCTGGTAGTAAGCAGCTGTGCGGGAGGCGAGTCCATCAAGACCTTGGCACCACGACTCATCATTGGAACCAACTAGAGGCACCAAACCCTATTGTTTTCATCATTCAAACTTATGTTACTACAATTTTTTGTTCCATAAATAATAAGATGTATAGTTTGTTGCCTATGCTATCAAATTTAGGTAACTCAACGACAAGAGCAAAGCACCAGTTCAATTTCAATAAAATATTCAGAATTGCGGAAAAATTAATGTTGGGAGACGTGTATGATGGGCTACCTTGTCGACTTTGATACCGGGAACAATCTTTTGCTCTACAAGAACATCAACCATCTTCTTGCCATCAGTGGTGGATTGGTAGAGAGTTTCCTCAAAGAGGATGGCACCAGAGATGTAATTGCCAAGGCCAGGGACTGTCACAAGAAGGGTCCGGTATGCCTGGCGGTTAGCCTCAGTGTTCTCTAGCCCAATTGAGGCAAGACGTTTCCCACAGGTAGCATTGGACTCATCCATGGCCAATATACCACGACCAGGAGATGCAATGGTTTTCTACAGCCAGAAACAGAAGCACAAAAGTAGCACATAAGTGCTGTCTTATCATTCACTCAGCCAAAAAAATATTAGAAGGCGGTGTCTTAAATCATTAGCTTCAAGTTGGCAAAACAAAAGCGTTACCAATTTCTTCTCAAAGCCTATTCTTTACATTATCATGTAATAGGAAGTTATTGCATATCATGTTTTCTGCAAGTTTTTACTCTAACTTCAGTTGAAGTGATGTAAAGATGTAACATAACATACCGCGGTCTTGACAAGCTCATCAGCATAGGAACCAGCGCGAACGGTAAGGACAGAAGGGGCGGTGGAGCGGCACCGGACAATGGAAGCAGAGGGCAAGCGGATGGCCTGACCCTTAACAAACTCAGACTTGTCAAGGACTGGTGATGACTTGAGAAGTGATGCTGAGGCCATTTTTCCTTTTTCTGTTTTGCTGAGAGGAGACTAAACTGCTAGTGTAAGATAGCCTATAATAACAAGTTTCTGTTATCTTATCTCCTCTCGATCTTGTGCCTCTTTACCACACATGCATGCACTCTATGAATTTATATTTGGCTACTATGTTATCATCAGATGTCACATTTGAGGCTGTCGTTCGTCGACAAATAACAATTTGCCATGTGGATGATAGCATGGTACACTTGGCATTTCGTATGCGTGGTTGAAATAGATGGCTTTATTCCCACCTCGTAAATAAATGAAATTATGGAGTCACAAAGCACAGATTTTTTTTTCTCTTCTATGTCAAGAAAGGCCAGACAAATGCATCTCATTCACTACTATGTTACAGAGTCCAAATCAGTGTCGTTTGGGAGATTTCTCTGGAGAGTAAATATGAGGTTCTAGTCTCTCTTGTTTTTTTTTTTTTAGCTTCATTTGATGAATGGCCGTTGTTTAATGGTCGTACTTGATTGTCTAGGAAACCTCTTTCAGCGGTAGACGGCTTGCCATATCAGATTTCTATGTATGGACTCAAGAGTTTTTATGCCTCACAGAGCTCAGTGGGTCTGCATATCACTGGGTGGTATCATTTGAAGGACCCACTTAAAGTAACATGGGTTCATGGCAGATGCACCGAATTGCCAACGGTTTGGGGTTAAAGGACCCGCATTTATTACCTTTACACAAACTAGAACCTTAACTCTTGATTCCTTTCCTCAACAGGGTCGTTTGTCAAACTGATTGTCTGAATATCAGTTGCAGAAGCCTGGGATGAGAATTGAGAATCATGTGAGTTGGGCTGTGGCTCCTCACAATTAGTACATAATTCAATTCCACGTGAAATTTCGGTCGCGGAAGGCCCGTCAATTTAAGGTTGCCATGTCCACGATTCGTACGGCTAAATGCGACGCTATGTAGAACATAATGGTCTCATTTCACACCTATGCAGAACCCTAAATACTCCTTCCATCACAATTAAAAGCAGTTGCCAGAAGCCGGAAACTTACAACAAAGTCAAAACTATAAAATGTACAAAGTTTATAAGTGCAATCAAGAATGTCGATCCAGAGACAGGTCTGCAATGCCATTAATCAAAGCATTAAGAGACTCCTCTTTCAAATCTTTCAACACCCCGGAATCATCAGATGATGGTGATGTGGATTGAGCAGGATTTTCGCAAAGGGCCTCATTCAACTGCTTAACAAGCTCATCTTCCTCGTCTAGAATGCCCAAATCCCAAACCTTAAAGATATCCTCAGTTGATGGCTCGATATCAGATGCTGAAAAACCCATGTCAAGTCCTGAATCAACTGCTAGACTCATTTTTGAGTCATCATCCTCCTTGTAATTAGATGAAAAAGCATGTTTGAGAGAAGTTTCTGAGAAATCTCCCTGAAAAATTTGTGATGATGAAACATCAGTCTCCTCATTGGTTGGAAAACCATTGCTTTTCATTTGTAATTCTTCATTAATTGTGGCGACCTCATTATCAGTTACTACAGATGACTGTAAATTTCCTGCTTCATTGGAAGGAAGCATCAGAACGTCAGCCCCTCTAGGCAAATCATCTATTCCAGATTCAGAAGAGTCGTGTGATTCTGGCTGCAGACTAAGAATTTCTAGCAAAACATCTTTCAGAGAACTCCAGTCACCATCTGAAATTTCAGGATCTTTAACCAGGCAAGAATCAACCCAAGCTACGTCTTCAAGAGAAAGTGCATCTCCATTCTGATTAGACTCCAATGAATCAACATGAACAGAAGAAATGGAGCCTTCTACCATATCATTATCACCAGCAGCCATGGCTAAACATATTGAGAAAACGTTAGTAGAGAAGAAGAAAGACAGGTTAATGCACAACCATATAAACAGCAGAGGAAGCGACAAATCGATGGTCTTATGAGGACAAGCAAATTACATATTGTTCTAAGCAATGAGCCCCACTAGGTGGCTTTGCCCTGACACAATCATCTAATCAAAGAACGCTTCCATAACAGTTCAAAATCGACATCCAGTCCACGAGATACAAAGAACTTATGTTCCCTTCTTCGAGTAATGATACGCGTATCCTTCACATGAAATCAACATTTTCCAAAAAAATATAGACAAGATAAATGCTGAGAAAAAACAGATGTCCTAAAAAAGTTATAGCAAGAGTAAACTTTCTAATTTTATCGTTCTACAGCAATCCATGGCAGCCACACCAATCCCAACTCCCAACCGCTGTCTAATAACGTAACAACCCAGCAATATGATGATGTCGACTTGCCAGGAAAAATCATCAGACAATCACAAGCATTATCATTCAGTCTCTCATAACATCGGATTAATACAAAAATAGTAAGCATTTAAACATAATAAAGCACGATGAAGACTGGTTAATTGATGCTCTAGTATGATCTTAACACAGTTTGTACACAATCCAAGGTAATAGCACTCTAAATTTTCAAAACAATAGACCACATATACATCATTAAAAAAAAAAAAAGTTACAATTAGGGCTAAATAATTTACAAAGGCATGAAATTTGTTGAAATCCTAAAACTAGAGTGAACTTCAGACACTGCTTCTAACTAAGCTAGAAACGATAAGAAGTTCCCAAAGCAGCAATTTTGACGTAAAAACCTAACAGTGATGGATGTCTAACACATGAGAGAGAAAGAATATGTGAAACGTACCGTTTTGAAGAAGAAACCCTAATTCTTAGCTGATAAAACGTAATTGGAGTTTTTGAAGGGAGAAGGAGAAGGAGAAGGACAGAGCGAGGGAGGATGCTGCAACGGCTAAGCCGTGTCGTTTGGTTTACTTGTTTGATTCTAACTTACAAGACAAGTTGGTTGAAATAGTATTTGTAAGCCGATAATCTTTCGTGCCAATGGCAAAACCTTCTGGTTTTTTCAAATGGACCATCGGCTCAATAATAACCTATATATATTTTCAAATGGGCCATTGGCCCAATAATAACTTAGAGGCGAGAACTATGGCGTGCTGTACCTCAAGACTTACGGATCCCATCCTCGCGGCAATCTTTTGTGAGCTTCCTGGGTCATCACTTATATACAATTAGTTTTATGGGTACCAAGACCCCATATAATTTAATGTTTTTTTAATCAAAATCTTAAATTTATTTTATTTCATTTAAAAGTTTTACTCTTATGTTATTTTTATTTTATATTTTAATCAATGATAGCTTATCATATATGCACTTTATCAAATAATAGCTTGCTACGTTATCAATTTAATCATTCAATTTGAACCATCGTGATACGTGACAAGCTATCATTAATTAGAGCTTATCTTGTATGCTTACATGGGATGCTAAAATCTGAAACAATAATAATATAAAAATAAAATTCTTAAAGTATATATATATAAAAATAAGATCTCAATAAAAAAATTGAATTATAGATGATTTCAACATGTTCAAAACCATTTATTCAATGCTAGTATGTTTTCAAATCATGGCAACAAATTCTTTGGCACCCAGTTTTTGCTAATTGCCTTTCAATAAGAGAACCCCCTAGTCTTTTTCCTCTCTACGAAAGGGGATGACCTTCATTGGCTTATATTTCATGAAGAAACCCAATATTTTAATCTTGCTGCAAAGTTCAATTGCAGGCTCAATCTTTTCTCAATTCTTGCAACGGATTGTACTTTTCAAGGTAATGATGTTCTGCATATAATGAATCCTGTTACATCTGAGTATTCTGAAATATTAAGTTGCGCGTGGATTTGATCCCAAACCAAAAAAATTAAGATTTTCAGGTTTCTTATCCAGAAAAAATTTATTGTAGAGATACTTAGCTCAATCTATTTTATATAATTATTCAAGTTTTTTTTTTTTTTATGTTTGTAATTTTATCTAATATGTCTATGTATAATATTTAATTATCTATGTTTATGAAGTTTTTCTATATAAATTAATATGATTATATTTTTTATTATAAAACTATTGTTGAACTATACAAAAATATAATTTTTACTTTTTGAAAAAAATACATTTTTATTTGATTCTTGAAACTTTTATTTCTTAAAATATAACTATTTAGAATGAAAATTATAATTTTGTCAATATAAGCAAAAGAAAGACATGTTTAAGAATTAGACTATTTATCCCTAATTAAATAGACTTTTGGGTTATTTTAATGCATTTGTTAATGGATCTGCTCATTTTCTTGTTCCTCGAAAACATGAGCCAACATTTGTGAGCGAATAGAGGCATTTGATTTTTAGAGTGAGCAGGTCAGTTTATTCTCGTTGTCTGTTTTTTTAATGGTGATGGCAAGTATAGAAGGCTGCATATTGGGGTTTTTAGGCACGCCCTCCATTCCTGTTCTTTTACTGATAATTCGAAAGGGGATTTTATGGAGGAATGGGGGATGAAGGTTTATGGTGTCGTTGAATCATGTATCAAAATGGCCGTCGTAGAAACTAGATTGATCTTGGACTCTTGGACCCTCGGGTGGAGCTGTAAGGGATAAACCTCTTGGAATATTGGAACATTTTGTTATATTGTTTGTCAGATTTGATTCTATATAAAAATGTTGAATATGAGTAGAAAGTATTTAAATTGAGGATAGACATGTTAATATCTCCTTTTTGAGTAGTGATTCTTGCTTGTAATATGTTGTGAATGCGAGTAAAAAGCATTTAAATTGAAGATAGAGATGTTAATTTCTCTTTTTTGAGTGGTGATTCTTGCTTGTAATATATTGTGTATGTCGTGTCTTTCTGTTTGATAGAGGGGTTTTGATTCCTTGTTTCGTTATGACGTGAAGTTATCATATTATAGAATAATGAGGTATCGGCGGGCTCTTGAGCTTAACAAAAGGAAATCCCTTACACCGGAACAATAACTTTGACCCGTTAAGGCATCAAGTAAAATATTTGAATGAGTTATTACTTAGTCTTTGATTTTTAATGTAGTTATAACTCGGTTTTTCATGTTTGAAAACTATATTAATCCTTTGAGTTTTATTGATCTGTCGTCTTATTAAAACATGAACATGTTTTTCTCTAAATTCTCGTTGTTTTAATTTTACTAGACTTAAATTTTAAGATGTTTAAAAGTCTTCATTCTCGCTCAATTTCCTATTAACTTGGAAAATAAAAAGGAATTCTTAAGCAAATTTCATAGTGTGTTTTAAGAATTGTATATGAATTGTATATGAATTGTCTTAAATTGTCGATGATACGAGTTGATAATGTGATCTAAAATAGAATCCAATTGATTACTATGGTTGTGAGCTAGCAAAAAAGTATTTGAAAATACCAGCTTAGGTTATTTTATGTCCTTAGTGGATTGGATAAAAAGAGAATATGGATTGGACAAGGAGAGAATATAATTTTTATTTGATCTAATAAATATTTATTAAAATTTTATAATAAATATTAAAATGGATATTTAATATGAGAATTCATTTACACTATATTAATACCCATTGATTTATTTTTGAAAAAAAAAATTAACATGCAAGGACATGATGGCATAAACATTATAAATTAGAGACCAATATATTCTGTATAAAACTTTGAGGACTAAAACCTAATAAATAATGGATCAAATTGTAAGCAAGATAATTTTAAGGATCAAAATAAGTTTTTTAAAAATTACACAAACTAAAATGGACTATTTTTACAAATTAGTAATGGGGTACTAACTAAGTATGAGTTTAGAGGATAATTTTTTAATAGGTATAGATATGATGGTTTTTTAATGAATAAGGCCTTGAATTAATGGGTCCAATTCCTTGTACATTGCCGTTCCAAAATGTTAGGGTAACCAAGGAGGGTTGATTTCTGAATGGTTTCCTCATTATTGCTTCTCTTCAGAGGGAGGTTCTAGCGAGCATAAGTTAATGCAATCCAGCAAATAGAACTGCATAAACGTTGCACAAAAGATTCGGAGGCTAAAGATCAAAGCACGCAGTAGCTAATCATTCTCCAAGACAATCTCGTGCTTTGTCCAACATGGATTTGCTGATATTAAATATAGGAAGAACAATTTACCAGTTGCAAAGACTTGAATTGGGCTGACAAATATTATTGGATATATAATACATATATATCTATACTGCCCTGCTGGATTTTGTGCGTTATTTGATATCGGAAAAACAAGCAGCTAGATGACAAACAGACTCAAGAGCTCCTAACCAGAACTTGTCAAATTGGAAGGATTTTCTAAGCAAATTTCACCCAATTTTTTTGTTTTTTAGGATCCAATAGCTCATACATAAAGCCCAATAAATTGAGTGATTCAAAGAAGCCCATAAAACCATTTTTAGGCTAACTAATCTAAGTCCATTTGGATGCAATGCAACTACCGGTCAAACGTCTGTTGAACTTTTGAAAATGGAAATCACAAGGACAAAATTTCTAATCACGGAATCTTTTTTGTCGTGATATTTTTTTTAAAAAAAGCATATGAAATATTTTTGGATCAACTTTTAACACATCCACGTCCAAATTGAGTGTTGTATGAAAAAAAAAAAAAAAAAACTTTCTTTCAGTTTTCTTTTAAGTTTGAACTTAAAATGATAACCTAATAAGAAAACTTACAAACGACTTGAGCCAATTACACTGAATTATCTAACTAGCTTGAGTTTACCAACCCAAAATAAACAAAACGAAATAAAAGCAACAGAACTTGAGTTGGTTGTCACAGTCCATCACATTTTCAAGTAGTTGTTGGCAACAACGAGTAACTGCTTTGATAAAACTTGAAGGACAATTATAGTGTTTTTAGTTCAGCGTTTGGACATCCCATGAAAAACTCTAACTAGAAGTCAGGAACCAAATGTGACAAAATGAGATCACACTTTCACTAGCATAATTTCGTCTCCATTTGTTTTTTAAATAAACTACTAGTATTTGCCCATAGTTAATACAGACAACCAAAAAGGTCAGTTATTTATATTGGCTTGCTTAGAAGCATCTCCAATGCTTTCTTTATATTAAGATTTTTCTTTATAATAAAGAGGCTTTATCCAAATTTCATCTCCAATGCTCTCTTTATCACAATCTTTATTTTTAAAATTAGTATGAAGAGTGTCTTTTGCTCTTCAATACTAGAGACTCCAAATGACTCTTTGTTTTATATTTTATTAATGAAAATTATTATTTCCAATGCCACTTAATCTCTTCACCAATAATCTTTATGGGTTTTATAGATTTTGTCAAAATAAAGAGTTAAATAGAGAGTAGCATTAGAGAGAATATTGATCTTCTATCTATATAACTAATGATACTCTCTATTTACATTAAAAATACTAACTAAAAATAAAAAGTACTATTGGAGATGCTCTTAGGATCTACGGTGCTGCAACCCATGAAGGCAGTTAATACGGTAGACAGGGGACAAAGTGGCTGGTGTTCGGCCAATAAATGATCTTTAATCTTGTTAGGTGATCCATAAAATCAATGTCTAACCGCTCATAACAGAGGAACTTGTTGGCTCGTTAGACTCCTCATGTAATAAGCCCGTCCGTGGAAGTAGGTTTCAATGTCATTACCCTTTCTTCATACGATCTTAATCAATGGACCTTAGCGCATTTGGCCAATTTTGCCTACTTTGGGGAAAGATGCCTCATCCCCCTCGCAATCAAGATATAAGTTTTAATAAGCAAAATAACCAAAAAACCAGAAATGAATGAAGAACCTGCTTATAGGTGGATCTTTTTTTCTGTGTTATTATCTCATATTTAAATTTAAGAATCAGAAGTTAGGGCAAAAAAAACTTGTTGTGAATAGACAAGATTAATTGTACGTTGCGTGACCTAAATTTCAATTAGGGAGGACATTAATCTGGAAAGCTGATCTAAAAACACATAACAATTAAAGAGAGAACCTAAATAACTTTCTTTTTGAGTTTATAGGCTATGTAGCCCTTCGAAAGTGGTAATTAAACAAAAGCTATTCAGGGGCGGAATTTATTTTTTACAAGTAGGAATCAGTACAAGGGGCACATCACTTGTCATTTAATTGAATGAAAGATGACTAGTCATTTTCCTGTTCCATAACTAATTGAAAATGATATAAGAACAAAATTCAAGATGAGGCAACTCATAAGAAATTGAAAATTTCACTTCCTTTTATCAGAATAATTGAAGCCAAGATGGGATTAGACATCTCGAAATCAGCTCCCTACCCTTACTTTCGAAAGAGCCACAATAAGTTTTTGTGATCCAATGCCTTAAATTCGGCAACTAACAAGCCTCTGCCCTCTTTGCTTTCGCCAAGATGAGAGACAATTCTTCCTACTTTTAAATGCCAATTAACACTGGCATATGTGCAAAATTGAGCTCTGTTTGTCTCAATTAAAATTGGAATTTGCTGCAAAATAAGCAAGCGCACCAACAAACGGTGCATTAATATACGTTGTTGGCTCGGACTTTCTAAAATCATCTCGATTATCGTCGTAGGAATCATCTTCACTAGGTCCACCCACAATAGCTCCAACATGAACATTAGGGTTAGGATTTGTTGAATTAAAGTAAATTGAACCTTCTTTGCAAGCTATAAATTCAGGGTGATCCTTAATGGACGGCAAGGACGAGCCACGGTGATGAATCCGTTGAGGATAATGGTCACTATATCCGACCATATAAGATAATCCCATAGGGTTATCCCCTAAAATGTAATCAACTTGCCTTTTAGCCTGTTGACGAAGTGAATATGGACCCACGTTCGCATTTCCACAGTTGACAGATTGAGATGTTCGTTCTAGGTAATTTGCATAAGCAAGAAGCAAAAATGAAATTGTTGTCGCATGTTGCAGGTTGCTGCCTCCTGGCTTGTAGATGAGGCCACCAGGAGTGTATTCTATGTGAGAGGATGATGACTCGGGTATAAGGGTGCACATGAAGCTATCTGCTGAAGCTTTGTATGATTGGAGAGTGTACATGTTTCCTTCCAGAACTTCCTATAATACAATAATTAATTCAATATGATAAAATCTAAATGACAATCTAATGTGGATTAGAGAATCGAGTGTGCAGGGTTGGTCAAATTTATTACTAACCTTGGAGACCAGAACATTAAGGCCAGCATGCTTGTTGTCCCAGCCAAATTCATTAATATTGTCATCAGCACCAAGGGTTTTGCCATTGTTTTGTAAGTAACTAAGGTAAGTTTCGTCAGAAGATGCCCTTCTAAGCCATGCTGCTCCCCATAGCAACTCATCCTGATGAAACCAGCCGAATTTAATAATTTAACAAACCCTTTATCCAAACTATTTAAAATCGATCAGTGGAGATAAAAGCATGTGAAGCAAGCTTAGCCTGCATTCCTATAATGGAAAAAAAAATATATAGCTTGAAGACAGCATTGCTAATCAATCAAAGAGGTATTCCTTACTTGATAACCATCAAAATCACAATAGAATGGGCATGCACCATCTCTGACATTGGGGTTGTCACTATAAGCTCCTCTGTAACTGTCAGCAAATTGAAAGGCCTTAATGGCATTTCTTAACAATGTTTCTGCATAACCTGGGTCCGACGATCGAAATGCCATAGACGAAGCTGCCAGAGCTGCCGCGGTCTCACCAGCAACATCAGATGCTGGATTTGGTGCATCCACAGCATAAACGGTCCTAGGAGTATCCATGTCCTCTGGTCTCTCCCAACAATTATGGTCTACATTTGGATCCCCCACCTGTAGCATGAATAACTAGGATTAATCAAACAGCCAGATCAAATTATTAGGCTCACAATAAAACATCAAACAAAAGATATTTATGTGTAGATTCTAATTAGCTATCTTTATGAGCTTAACTGGTCCTTGAAATTAATGTGAGAATCATGGTAGATCAATCGTCCCATCAAGGCAAGTGAAGTCACATACAATTGATCGCGTAGGCTAAAATCCTCATCTCCATACAACATCCATCCATAAAACATAAAGCATGATGGGCCCAATTTCTTGACCCATACAAGTCACGGACCTTTAAGGACAAAAGTGGGTCTGTCCCATTGCAGTACCGACGAAAGCAGCAAAAGAAACTGTCCACTCCCGCTGAAAATCATCTTTTTTAAGTATGTGTGTGTGTGTGTTACACAAGGTTGGCTATTAAAAAGATGGGCTGGCATTTCTCTTGATAGGTGGCAAAGTCTATTTCACCATATATGGGTGATGATCGAATGAAGGATGTAATGTGGCTAAAGAGTAAAGAGAATAGTTAAAGTCATTTACATTCACGATAAGTAACAAAATAAAAAAAATCAAGACTAGGACACGACTTATGTAGTTGGATTAGTTGATTGAACAACTTTCGTTAACTTCCAAATGATGGATTTGGATCCATGAACTTAGCTAAAACCAAATCAGAAAGTGTCATGCACACATTTTAAGGCAGTACAGGCAGGTAAAACCATAATCTAGTCAAACCTATTATTTCACCAGGTTGTCTTGTGGGGGCCAAAAGGTCAAAACAGGACAAGCTGCGGACTGAGCTTTACCCAATTTGGCCACATCACCCTCATTTCTTCACTCACTCCCTCAGTAGTTCAACCAACCCAAACGGAGTCACACACCCCAACTCCTCAAACCACCCCAACCCCCCCCCCCCCAATCAGTAAATTACAAAACTACCCCTCCCAGCATCTCAAAAAAAAAAAAAAAAGAAAGAAAGAAAGAAAGAAAGAAAACTGTAGTGCGCCGTGTCACTTATGACTTACCTGAACAAAAATCCTGTTAGGCTGAGAAACAGTCTTGAGCAAATAATCAGTGGCCCAACGAACGGCAACTAAGCTATTTCTCAATTCATTTGGAGGCATTAAGTCTCCAAATTCAATCACACTCCAAGACAACATTGTAGTTGTAAATGCCATAGGGAAGCCAAACTTGACATTATCACCAGCATCATAGTAGCCACCAGTCAGTTCTGTGTTATATGTCCATCCATCACTCAGGCCTGAATTAGCACGCCAAGTTACACGTTGATCTTGTGGCAAATAGCCTGACCTTTGACCCTCAAAGAAAAGAATGGACTTTGATAATGCATCTTGGTACTCATGGTAGCTTGACTGAAACAAGGGTAGTTGAGCGAGTAGCGTAGCGAGAAGAAGAAAGTGATGGAGAGAAGAGAAGTTCTTCATGGTGGTAATGGTGGGTAGTGGTGTTGGTTGCTTATTGCAGTTTATATGAGCGTATTGTGTCGCGTGGTGTTCCGTGTAAGGTTTTGGTCTGATATTGCATATGGGCCCTTTATTCTTAACTTTATCATTGTTTGGTCCTCCCTTTTTTTGGTTGTCCTAATGTCATCTCCAACTCTGGAGATGTAAAGTGGATCCTGTCATCCCAATCCAGTCCATATTTATGATGTCATTTTTTAAATGTGACATGCCATGTAAGCTTATATTTTTCTATCTCAATGAAATACCAGCCAATGTCGATGTTAATGGGCCACTATAGTACTATGTTGACTCATATGATATTTCCTTTTTCATTATTTTTATAATATTTTATGAAATGTTTTTTAAATAAATAATATGTAAATATAAGTAATTTAACTGTAAATTGTTGACTAATTGTATATATACATACATTAGCTTCATTAATTATACACATTTACATTATTTCATGAAATGCAAGTTAATAAAATCATCATATTTTTATGAGTTTTCTCAAAATACATGAAAACAAGTAAAATTAGTTTTGGTAAAAAATATGAGATGTTCAATCATAATTTTTTAGTCAATATCATGTCTATCTATGTTAATTTAAGTATAATGAGTTATAAATATAATTTCTTGACTTATCGTGTTTTAATTGTTTATGAGTTGATTTGTGCTTATCAAAATTTCATATCTTTATTTTATAATTGGTTAGTGCTTTGATAAATAATTATGATAAATCATATTATTAAATTTATGTATTTTTTAAAATTCAATATAATTTGACATCATTTGTGCATTTAACATATAAATTTAGTATGATATTTGATATAATGATTAATTGATTATAAAATAAAGGATAGTAGAATGTCATTAAGATAGATTTGACCCTTCTGCGATAAAATTGAAACGAACGATACATAGACGATTAGTATGGCCCCTAGTGAGGACGACACGCACAAATGAAGAAAGCATTAAGATAAATATAAGTAGGGAGATCAAAGTGAGACACAATTAAGACGAAAGGGACTGAACACACACCATTAACCCTCTAGATTAAAGCGCGGTGTTGTCACGAGAGAAAGGAGTGGGGGTGTGCATAAGCGCCGACGCTGACTGGGACTGTATGCGTGTCAGTTTGCTTCACATGTACACCAATGTGAGCGCGTGGTGCGTAGACAAAATTAATTATTTTGGTTCTTTTTTTTTCTCGGTCATGGTCCCTGTGTGAAGTATGATAATTAAAAAGGAATATGAAATTAGGGAAGATACGTACACAATTTATCTATATTTTCAGCCAATGGGAAGTTGATGGCACTCTCTATATTGTAGTGGCTAAGAAAGCGAAGAACCAGGGTCTGGTTTGGAAGCTCAAGAATAGTGGTGAACTTGAAATTCCAACTTTACGAAATCTCTAGTTCCGTGTCCTTTTGCATTTAGAGTTCCAAATAATTAAGGTTCGCATTGAGGTTAGTTAACGAATCTATAGCTATCTCTTTTTGTCAAACTATTGATTATAATTAACATGAAAGTGGATAGATGATGATAATTTATTATATTCTAATTATGATCCTAATTGGTGTATGTAAAAAGATATTGGATATGACAGTTTATATGGTTAGGTGAAAGTATTATAATTATAGTCCATTTAAGTCATAAATCATTGAATATTTTATTTATTATATCATAGTAATTTATCTTGTCACTTTAAAACTTAATTAATTATCACATAATGTTAGTTATTAATATTATCATATTACCTTCAAAATAAAAATAAAAATTATTTATTTTGTAATAAGTAAGTGATTGGAAACTGTTATTACAAGATTAATTTATCTTTTCATAATCTAACCACTTAATCTATACTTATAACAATTACAAACAACTAACTATAATTCAATACATTTTTTTTATTTCAAAGAAGAAAAACAAAAAACTGTAAAAAAAAAAAACTATTTTTACATGATTACGAACGAATAAGTTATTCTTATATATCATATATACTTTTTTATTATTTTATAAATCTAAAAACATTATTATTGTAATGTTTTGAAATAACCATAACTATATATATCTTCTATCATATCTTTTATGTAATTGAATATGTTGATTTATCCTCAGTAAAAACTATTTTTATTAGGTCCTTAGCATGGCAAGTGGGCAACAACAATATCATTATGCAATACTAAGGAAGCATCAAGTTTATGAAAAAGCTCAAAACTTTAATCCATGTTATAGGAAACGGTTTGAGATTTATAAATTGGTCCACCTATAATTGATTAATTAGTGGCATTGTCCCCTCAGAAATAGAAATATTGGAGTACCATAACATTTATCGGGAATGACAATTTTGACTTCCGAACGAGAGAAACCAAACATAGGTTATGGCCATATTTGCTTGCGTGCACACGCAAGGTGAGAGAGAGTGGAGGAACTGGTTGCGTTGATTGAGACTAAAGTGTCAATTCGAGAGGGTTACAGTAATTTGATAGGCCAAGGATTCCCAGCGTTCGAGACAAGAGAGATTAGAGGCCTCGTTTGTATTGCTCAGATTCTTATCCCCTTGTCACGGGCTGTATTAAAACGGGGCGGTGCCTGTGTTGAGTAGCGTTTTGCTTTCTTTCTTTCCTTTTTGGCCTTTTTCTCGCAAATTAAAAGCCCAGTGCATCTATTTTATTGGAAAAGTAAATTACACCAAATTCAACGTAGAGAAAACAATTTGATGACTTGACATATAATCCAAGTGTCTGTTTCGGCATTATGCTTGGTTTTCAGTGATGTGGCGCTGAAAGGAAAAGGATTGAGAAAAATTGCAATGAGAGGAAGTTGATAAAAACAAGTTTTTGTAACAGTGTTATTGAAGGTAAAATTGTTCATGATAAAGGGTATTTTAAATCAGTTTTTATATATATATACGTGTGTGTATTTTTTTTATATATATAATTTTAGAAATGCATTCTCTTAACGATATAACGTGTTTGGAAAATAAATTTTCATGCATATTGATTTTAAAATTTAAACTCATAAAATTAATTAATTTTTTTCTAAAAGTCCTTAAAATTATGTAATTATACCCTTTTCTGAAAGGGAGTTTGGCAATGGTTTGGAATGAGCTTTATTAGTTATTTTTGTTATTCAAACATATTTTTAAGGACGTTCAGCAAGTCCCAACTGATCAACTGCAATATTAAAGGGACTCTAAAAACGAACAAGAAACAAAGGATTTCTTGATAGGTACAACAGAAAATTTAAAGTGACTACCCACAAATATAATGCATCTTTTCTGGATCCATACATTTATTAGACTAATGGTTTAGAGAAAACAGAACAGGACACCTCTCATCCCGGGCCACATGATAAAGGGTCACAAGATAGAAATTCTTGAGTGAAAATCTACTACAAATTAGAAGAAAAGGGGGTTACGGTTTATGAAAACTGAAAAGCATGAGTAATTGTACTTGTCAATTTTGTCTCAAAGCATGAGTAATTGTACTTGTCAATTTTGTCTCAAAGCATGAGTAATTGTACTTGTCAATTTTGTCTCCTAATAATTGTACTAGTGTTCACCGTATTTTGCATTAATTCGACACTCGAAATCATTAACATGCCAAGGTTAGTCACAAGAAGTCACCAAATAACTGATAGTCTAATCTTCCAGGAATTTCCAGGGACTAAGCTAAACCTTGATTCCTTTGAAGTGGATGCCCTTTTATCTGCCTTTGCAAGTTGCAATCGTATCTGTCTTGTTAGTCATCGCATTGGTGATGCTTTCTTTATCCAACTGTATTGGCTGACAGTTAGGCGGATGCTTTGATGTCACTATGACCTTTTGGTTGGAGGTAGGAGATAATGTAGTGAAACCTTTATGATACTTTTACCGATATTCTTTTGAGACAGGCGACTGCTTTGCCAGTGTTACAAGAAAGAAATCAATCATCCATCAGAGAAAATAATATTGGTATTGTAACTTTTTCGACTAATTAGCATGGTTTCCAAAATATTTGTTGCATTGATATTATCCTATAGTAACAGGATATCATCAAAACAAAATTAATTATTTTTGGGACCAATTGCAGTATTATGGTATTATTACAATATATATTAGCAGATCCAGGTATATAATAAATATACTGATATTACAGCCAACAAATCAATTTATCTATGAATATCCTACGATAATAATCAACAAGTCAATTAATATATCCACCAATTGAACATTTACAAGAGGCAAAATACTTTATACATGCATCCTCTTCCATGTGTTTTGAGATCCAACTAGATTAGTCCCTTCGGTCTGTCTCTAGTCTCAGGAAGTCAGGATGAGCCACACTATATAAGTAGTTTTTATTTTTTATTTACTAGCATCATAATAACAAATTTCCATGCAAATGGTTTTTTTTTTTTAATGGATCATCCATAGGAGCATTGTATATTAGCCAAGAAAGATGCTAGGCCAGCATACATTATCAGTGATTGGGTCAGGATATCCAAAACCTTGAGAATTTCAAGGACTACGAATCTGAGCCGGCCTTAACTGCTAATTATTTGTAACTTGCAACTGAAACATTAATGTTCTCTCTCTTTCGTTGTACCTGTACTAGTAAAGAGATAAAGAAAGAGTTTCTGTTTTTCGGACAAGTGGTAGCAGATTTTTGTTTGGAATATTCAAGTACTTAACCTAAGCTTTTTCTGTGCAAGGGGTGAATTTTGTCGCAGGTAATATGTGTATATTTTCCTCGGGACATACTTTTGCCATAGTCGCAGGAAAGAAATCATTTGCCTTGTTGTTTTCAATTAGCTTCCTCATTTTACCTTCGCTTTACGTGTAATGTTATGTTTTCTGTTCTTTTTTGGCCCTTTCCCCTGCTCTTTCTGTTAAGTTAGACTGCAATTCCTTACGCAAGAGCCCAGCCCATAATTTACGAACCAACACACACTTCCGAATTGACCGACATAATTTGAGATGGGCTAGTAAATGATTGGGCTTTGTTGGTTCTCATATTGAAGCCGACTATTACAGTTTGTGGAGAAACAATAAATTGCCAGTAAGCCATAAGGCTTCTTTCTTTTCTTGCTTTTCTCCGATCACACTGTTAGTATTTTATTTATTTCACACAAAGCATGCCATCAACAAAGACCCAGCACGAGTTTGTAACTCTGCTAGCATATGTTTCGATTTCGTACATGAATAATTGAACGGAATAATCCACTACTGAGAGTTACTATGATATATATATACTGGGTTTGATGACAAAATTATTTTTGATTCAGCTTGCTCATCAATCAATCGGTATTAAATTTCTTTTTAAATAATTTTAAAGACACATTTGCTAACCTCAAGATTTAAATAATAAATAATAAATAATAAATAAATCTTTTTAACCACCTATCCAATTCCTAGGGGTTTTTCCAATAAGAGGACTTAACCACTAACACATAACCTTTTTCAACAAATTAATTCTGACCCAAGAAATTCCGTTTTTACTGGGCTGGATCTATAACATGACTGGGCTCTTTTAGGCCATGATTAGTGGGCCTCGAACACCGTGTATAAACTTTTATGGAACAAGAGAACACCCCTCACAAGTCCCAACCCCGTGCTCTTCATAAACAAACACGCACTCGCCAGCTGACCTCCGAAAATCCCTAAATCGAACCCCTTTAATTTTTACTTTTTGTCTGTACAGCTCTTCATAGCTTAACCTCTATCTCTTTCTGAGTCGCATTTTGACCGTTACTATATTATCAGCTTCAGGTTTGCCTCTTCAATTCGTAAACATTTTATTTGATTTCCACATACTAGGGTTAACGATAATTATCATATCTGTTTCAATTGAGCGCAAAACTAGTTCTTCTTTTTGGTTCAATTTGTCTTAAAACTTGTAATTAGGGTTTCATGTGTTATTGTTGTCTTGTGTGTTTGGTAATCTGTGATTTTCAAGAAAGTTGTGGTCTTATTTAAGTTCTTACAGCTTTGGTATTGATGCTCACACTGTATTCTATAATGGATTGTTGGGCTGTAAATTGTCGTGGCCTTTCATCATTCGGATTACCGCGATAATTTTGTTATTCTGACCATGATGTGTTCTCTTTTGGATGTCTAGATAAAAAATAGTCGAAGAAAAATAAATTTTTAATTTGCTAGGTTGCATTGCAGAAGAGGGTGTTTTGGAAAGTAGGTTGAAAAAGGTTTTGACTTTTTCTCTGTTATAATTGAGATGGGAGGCAGAACCAAACTACAGAGTTTTTCAAAGCAGGGATGGAAATGTAGTTATATGCTGTGCACTGTGGTTGTATATTACCGTTGAATGTTAATTAAAATTCTTCCAACGGTCTTCAAAAGCCTGCCTGTCTAAATTCTGGCTCTTTTTTTTTTTTTTACCCCTGTATGTTTTGAAAAACTTTCTACAAGCTACAAAAGGGCATTAGATACTTATTGCTAACCTTCTTTTTCTGCCTCGGCTAGGGCCTCTCAGCTTAACTCAGGAATGAATTTCTAGATGTGGCTGGTCTTTTGTAATGGAAAGAAATGACCAGCTTGCTTCAATAACCAACTCCCTTTCTCTTGAAACTTGTCTTTCAAGTTTCTCCTAATTAATGACTGACGTCTTCTGCAGGGGGAGAAAATTTCAGTTGGTAATAACTTAAAAAAATTTCGCCCCCTGCCACATTCATTTGTTTTGCCTTTTCTGTAGTGGTTGATTTGGTTTGAATGACTGGTAAAGAAGATGGAGTTATGTAGTGTTATTAATAATTGTGTGAATCTGAATGTGTTGGGGAGAGAGTGTTTGCAAGAGATGTGCAATTTTCATAAAAAGGATGTAATTGAGGAACGGGGTCATACGTTCCTGGTGCTGAGTTGAGTGGTATCATTGTTATGTAATCTTTGTAGGATGGATACTTGTTGAAAAACATTTTGTTGTTTACTGTTGGGATTTGGCGTTTTTGTTTTGGAGGGGATAGTAAGGGATTTGGTTTGAGTTAATGGATGATGATGGGTGTGTGGTTCTGATGTGGACAGGAAGGAGGCAGCGACGTTGTTGGTTGGTGTTGTGTTGTTTTTTTCAAATCAGTGTTTGGTAGGTGTTAATAAGGGTAAGTTTGAACATGAGTTCTGACAGCAGGAGCCAAAGCAGAAGCAGAAGCAGGAGCAGGAGCCCAATGGATCGTAAGATCCGCTCTGACCGCTTTTCATATCGTGGTGCACCTTACAGACGAGAGTCGCGTCGGGGTTACAGGTTTCTGTTTTTTGGATGATTTAGTTTTTTTTTCGCCCCTTTTTATGTGCTTTGCAAGTGGCCTAGATGAGCCAATTAACAGTGTTAGAATTCAGTAGAGAATTTCATTTCATCTGATGGTGTCATGGTGAGTGAAACTGCTTGGTTATGGGGTTGGAGATTCTTAAATTTTTGCTATTTCCAGGTTGGCTATTGTATTGAATCAGTGGGGTTTAATACTTTATTAACTAGAATAGCACTGACTTAGCCAGTGGGTAATTACATGAAGGTCAGTACGGTTGTGAAGATTCGAGTGACTCCCATATTGTTCCATAAGAATTTGTAATTAGTAACAGTTTTGTGTTATAAGTCAAAGAAATGCACAGCAGTGGAGTTCATCTGCTGCTTCTAGAGTGTGATTGAATGCTTGCTTTCATTTTTTGAATAGGGATGTGCTCATGCTTATTTTTCTCATGAAATCATGTACGTGATTGTTGATAAGTGATACTATGGGGTGCTGTTCCTTTTCCTTCTGTGTTGTGGTATTTGGTTAGACAACAACTTGTATGTGGAACAATGAAATCAACTCTCTCTCTTTCTCACTGTTGTTTGTGGAAGAAGGAAGGGCACATTTATGGTAGATGTTTGTCTTATTCTTTTCCTTGATGTTGTGCTTACATATCTCTCTTTGTGAAGGCTTATTAAAGAATCACTAATCTCTTTTTTTTTCTCGTATAAATTCGATGCTCTCGTGCTGTATTATTCTTCTAAAATTATATTTTCTGTGATTTTGCAACCAGCCAAAGCAACCTGTGCAAGAACTGCAAACGACCAGGTCATTATGCTAGAGAGTGCTCCAATGTGGCAATTTGTCACAACTGTGGCCTTCCCGGGTATGGAATCTTATTCTACAGATTTTGAATTGGAGTACTGTGTTCATCCTATTGCAAATCTGCATTTATTATGAGCAAAACATTGCAGGCCACTTGGTTTAGGCTTACGATTTATGATATCTACTCAGCCTCGCATGGTTAAATGATATTCTAGAATGACAGGTTCCACTGTTGGAATCTTGTTCTACCTTCACGGTAAATTGAAGAATATCCATGTTTATCCCTATGTCATTTTGCAAACTCAAACATCCATTTTTATCCCCTAACGGAAGTTTGCCTACGACCTGTTGTTTTTTGATAATTTTTTCTAAGCATCGTGGGTAGAATTGAAATTTCTGGAAATATATGTCACACCCTATGCCATTTTGCGAACTCAAAAATCCACGTTTATCCACCAAAGGAAGTTTGCCTTTGGCCAGTTGTTTTTTGATAATTTTTTCTAAGCATCATGGGTAGAATTGAAATTTCTGGAGATATCTTTAGAGCTTCTTTTGTGTCATTTTCTCGTTTACTTCTTTCCTCCTCTTCTATTACTCGGCTCTTATGCCCTGATGCCATCTATGCAAATCTAATTTATTCTTTCCTCACCCACTCCACCCATAAACTAAAACAATATCCTCAACTCTACAGTCAGCACCTCAATATGCTTTTAGTTATCATAGAAGCCTCACTTCCATTCCTTCACCTTTTTAGCTGCATCTTGACATTACCAGCAATACTGTTTTAGCCTTTATCTTTCAACCAATACTGAATTGCTGGAAGCCATAGCTTGTCCCGACAAACTTTTGTGTCCTGAGAAATCTGAAAGTACCTAAATGTTTTAACCACTGTTTTAAGTGGTGTTCATAGTATTGCAAGTATATCAGTGTTATTGGTATTCCAGTTTTCAACTTTAATTTCCCTTACAAACCAAACGTATCTTCCAATCGCTACAAAGCTGACCAAGTGCATGCATTAAAATGTCTGGCAGGCATATTGCTTCAGAATGCACCACGAAATCTTTATGTTGGAACTGTCGGGAACCTGGGCACTTGGCCAGCACCTGTCCAAATGAGGGAATCTGCCACACTTGTGGCAAGGCTGGACATCGAGCTAAAGAGTGCACAGCAACACCCATGCCACCTGGTGACTTGAGGTTATGCAACAACTGCTATAAGCAGGGTCATTTTGCGGTTGACTGTACAAATGACAAAGCATGCAATAACTGTAGGAAAACAGGTCACCTAGCACGCGAATGCCCCAATGAGCCTATTTGCAACATGTGCAATGTAGCTGGGCATGTAGCTAGGCAATGCCCAAAATCAACCATGCTGGGAGATCGGGGAGGTATACGCAGCGGTGGTTACCAAGACATTGTATGCAGGAACTGCCACCAGTATGGACATATGAGCAGGGATTGCATGGGCCCCTTGATGATCTGTCACAATTGTGGGGGCCGAGGACACAGGGCAATTGAGTGCCCTTCTGGAAGGATGATGGACCGCTATCCCCAGAGGTTCTACCGTTGAATAATGATGGAGTGTTGGCAATATCTCTAGTTGAGGAGGTTGCTAAATTAGTCATTAGATTTTGAATATTGAAACATAAGGCTTGAGGAGTCATTTGAAACTCTATTTGATAGGCAGTGATTTGATGATCTTTCATGTGGAGCATTAGTAGTACCTATAATTATGCTTTACAGTGGTTTAGTTTGAAATAAAGGATTTATTAAGCAGCTTGCTAATCCCGTTTCCTGATGTGAGGTGAGTTATGACGTCTGTATAATTTTTGCCTGAGTTCTTACCAAGAGCATCTGGAACCTTGAGAATGGTAATCTAGTTCATAGGTAAGCAAATGCAGGAGCAGAAAGTAGTAAGAAGAGCGAAAAGATTTTATTTAAATGGCAAGAGAAGATGGAACAAATCAGCCCTTGATTAACACTTAATGATCAAGATTTTCCGTACAAGAAGTAACAGCAGACACTGTTAATAGATGAAACTCAAAATTATTTTATTCAACTTTCATCAACCAAATCCAATCTTATCACAAAGATAAGACAAGGTCGAATAAATAGAGAGAGTGCAAAATCATTAAAATAATAGTAATGCTTAACGAACAACATATGGAAGAAGGCATCCTGAGAGTATATGTTTGATAATGCGACTGAATTACGGTTAAAATGAAAAACATTCTTTTACCTTTTCAACCTCACTAGACACCATATCAAACGGGCTCTAAATTTATTTTCCTAATGATGGGCTTGTATTGGACCCACTGGTGGGGTTGGGTTAATTAATTACTTAATACTGTGTCCAGAAGAAGAAAGGCATCATGTCGCCAGCAACCGTTCCTTTAATATGCTATTACGGATGGGCTTAATCCTATAATCACCTAACAAGATCAGGCCCATTTAGCTGTGTGTTTGAGAGGGTGGTTGTGTGTGGGGGGTAAATCCGTCATTTTATAAGGCATGCAATTCTAGTCCAAACATAATTTCTTTTCTCTGCGAATTCTGGTCTCCCAATTTGGTAACTTATTCTGTGTAAACATTTTAGGAAAAAACGACACGAAATTTCACCTAAAAACTCAAAACCCTAAAAACAAAATTCTTTTAGGTTTTCTCAATTCTTTTCTCTCTCTCTCAAATGGAAACCGAAGAAGAAGAGAATTCAATAAATCCTTCCAATGGTTCTGTTGAACTCGATAACGAATCTAATTTAACAACAACAATAACAACGACAGATACCGAGTCTGTGGCCGAGTTGCATGAGTCGAACGAGTCACAACTCGGCAGTGCTGATACCGAGTTAGTACAGCGACAACCACAACCGCCAGAATCTCAAACTGAAACAACGGTTCTCGATAAGAGCGATGCTCAGGATTTTGTTGTAGGCGAGTCTCAATCAGTTTCTCCTCGACAGCTGGTGGTTGAGGGAGGCGAAGGTGAGGAGGTTGCTGAGGCTACAGAGGAGAGTGTGGAGATTGTGGCACAGCAAGAGGTTGTCGAGAAAGAAGTGGAAAAAAGGGATTCGGTTGCTAAAGAGGAGAGAAATGAGGATTTGAATGGAAATGCGAATGCCGGAAACAATGAAAGGGAGACCAAAACGGATGGTGTTGCTGACGTGGCAGCGGAATTAGAGACTGAGACATTGAGTCAGGAAGTAGAGACAGTGGCGGCGGAAGTAATTGAAGTGAAAGAGGAATTGGCAGTGGCTGAGAATACGGAGAAGAATGATGTAGCGGAGGAGAAAAAGGAGGATGCTGACGTGTTGGACAAGGTGGAGATGGTTAATGATGTGGAGGAAGCTGAAACAGCGACGGTAAAGGAAGAAGAAGACGGAGTGGAGAAGACGGAAATATCTGGTGTGGGGAATGAAATGGAGGCTGTGGAGCGGAGGGAAGTAACTGAAGTTGTGAAGGAAGGGAAAGTAGATAATACAGAAGTTGCCGATGTGGCAGGGGAAATGAAGGTTGTGGAGCAGATTGAAATGAATGAGATTGTGGAGGAAGAGAAGGTGGAGAAGATGGAAGTTAATGAGGAGGAGGAAAAGCAGTTAGCAGCGCCGGTTGAAATGACTGACATTGCAGAGGAAACCAGGAAGGATGCGAAAAATGAAATGGCAGACATTGCAGAGGAAATGACTGTGGCAGAACAAATAGAAACGACTGATGTTGCAGGAGGGATGGAGGAGGCTATTAACAAGGAAGGGGAAACGACGGAGACAGAAATGCTTGATGTGGCAGAGGAAGCAGATAAGGAAGAGGATACAGAAGTGGAGATGTTGGAGAAGGAGAATGAAGGAGAGGATATGGCAGATGAAATGGAAGGGGCAGAAGAGGAAGTTGAGGAAGTGGGTACAAATGGTGGCGGTGGTGGTAAGAGGAAGCGGGGAAAGAATGCTAAAACTCCCTCTAGAGCAGCATCGAAGAAGAAGATGGAGGAAGATGTCTGTTTCATTTGCTTTGATGGAGGTGAACTTGTGCTATGCGATCGCAGGTGAGTAAATAAACAAACTGTTGATGCATTGCTCCGTGTGTTGTAATTCTAGTTCTAGTTCTATGTGCTTTGTGATGTCAGGAGATTTTCGTACTGTAGTTTTAATGTATAATTGCTTGTGTAGGGGTTGTCCTAAGGCTTATCATCCTTCCTGTGTTAATCGAGATGAGGCTTTCTTTCGTGCTAAAGGTCGATGGAATTGTGGTAAGTTGTCTGTTATTTTTCTTTTGTTATATTTTTTCCTCGATGTTACCAATCATTTTGCTAGTGTTTATTTGATGGAGATAAATTGAATTTGATTATCTTTTATTGTTACTGTGTGGTGTTTAACATGTTTGTTTCTGCTGATCAGGAATATTATGACGTTGCTTTTGACTTTTAATTGAAATTGTGTTCAAGTATTTAAGTTGTTATTTTTCTTTTGTTTGCAAAAGGTTTGATGTACACAACAGCGAAGCTTGTCGGAGCAGACTTGTGTGAAGGGACAGAAGTTCTTGCCCGGCACACTGTTTAAGTTTTGCAAGCTCACCGAGTTGGTTTATTGTGCATCATATCATATGACGTGTTACATTTTCTTTAATGGTTAGGGCTTGTGAATTGTTGAAAACCCAGCCAATCGCTGGTATTTGCAATGTTTAGGTTTGATTAGAATGGCAAATTGTGGTGATTACTAGTGGAAAGCGAAAGCAAACATTAATGATTCAATTACAAGGTCAATAAAACATCTGAGGTCCCCAGTTTAATTGTTACCTTTAAGGCAGTTGTGATGATTCCATTGCTTTGTAAACTATATTATACATGTACTTCAGCTCTATCCTTTTAGCCTTTTTATACAATCTTGGGTCAGTTTTCAAGTTCCGATTGATTCTAAGAATATATTCTGTTTTTACGAGAGAGTGTATTCTTTTTAAACTGGTTGAGAGAATAAAAATTAATCTTCTTTGCAAAATGGTTTGCATTCCGTCAAAGCATTATGTTTACAGAAAATTTTAAGCAACAAGATTAGTTGATTGGTCATTCATGGCAATCAACTGTCAAGGGCTTGGATATGATTTTATTTTATTTAATCTGAAGCTACTATCTTTGCTTAGTAGGTTGTTTGTAGCATAATAGAGGGCAAGTAATAGAATTTTACTAGCGTGAGAATAAATTCTATAGGATCTTGTCATTCATGTAAGAGGACATTTAAAAGAGGGGGAGTTCGAGAACTTCAACCAATTTATTATAGGCTATGGCGCCTGGAGTATATTGTATCATTTTGAGCTGCATGATTCCTGAGTGCATTTTATCAAGAACCTTATTTCCTGCAAGTACTTAGATGCCCTTTTGTTTGAATTTTGATCCATGCATCTTGAATCAAGACAAGTGCTAATTGCTGTATGCTAGCAGAACACCTGTGTAAAATACAACGATTTCTCTCATTGCAGCTTCTCCTTTGGGGAGTTTATTAATTTCTGGAGATGTTGGATGTAATAAGCGTTGTGTTTTGGGCAGAATATCTGAAGTTGATATGTAGAGGACATACTTTTAGAGACTCTTTGTATATCTGATTCTATGGGGAAGAGCAAACTTGGCGTTCTTGTTTTAGTAACTCATAATTGTGTTCTAGGTCTTTTTAGTTTAACAGCAATTTCCTCTCCGTTAAATAGATTGACCGATCTCTTGCTATGTTAGCAATAGGGACAATGATGGCTGACTGTTGTATGCTGCTGTCCTTGAAATGTCTTTTGTGTTTCTTGCATAAAATTTGTTGGTGGCTCTTTCACATATGGTATTACCAGTAATTTATGTCATTTGATGCGCAGATGTGAATACTTTTGGGAAGATATGGCTTTTCTTTCAAGATCTATTACGATCTATACATTGTGTTTTTTGTTGAATTTCTGCATATGAATTTATGTCAACTTGGGTTACTTGTTCTATCTAATACGAGTTTTGTTACTTTGTTGAATTAGGTTGGCATCTGTGTAGCAACTGTGAGAAGAATGCCTACTATATGTGCTATACATGTACCTTTTCCTTGTGCAAGGGATGCATTAAAGATGCTGTCATCTTATGTGTAAGAGGTAACAAAGGCTTCTGCGAGACATGCATGAAAACTGTCATGTTAATTGAAAGGAATGAGCAGGGAAACAAGGAAATGGTATGTCCAAACTTTTTTTTTTTTTTTTTTTAAATCTGCTCTGTTTTCTTTCTTCCTTGGTAGTTTGGTGTAATCATTGAAGAGAATGAAGAATGAATGTTTTCTCAATGTTTTATGTACAAAAAAAGTGTATGGTTTTGAGAAAGAAATATAGTTAGAAGCATGAAGTTGTTAGTTTGATGTTGTTTTAACAACTAGCTGATCATTCGAACATGATGATGCTTTAAAATGATTCATATATGACTTCGCTAGTTGTTATTGGGCGGTCCTTGATATCCTTGTTTAAATTTCAAATATACCAATTTGTAATTTTGATGGACGGTGAGTTTCTAACAAATGATTATCTTTGAAATGTTGCATTTCTGACTCTACTAGGTGTGCTTGGGTTCGTTGGTATCCTTGTTTAAGTTTCAATTATACTTTCATGGATGGCAGGTTGCTAACAAGTTATTAGCTCTAGAATTTTAATGGGAGGGGAAAGATTAGTAATGTACCGTCTTTGTATACGGTTTGAAGGTAGATGATTTTTTATCCTTTTCTTTTTCATAAAAAGTACAAACAAATCTTTCATTATCTGAGGGCTAAAGTGGATTTTGAATTCATTCCCTTCCCTCCTTAATACTCCAATTTGGTGTTTTGGAGTCTTCTAATAGTTGGAGGAAATTGGGGTTATGAAAACTCTCAAAACTCCAATACAGTTTGAAGTTTCTTTTACTTCTTTTCTCTTTCCTTCTCCCTTAAACACTCCTATCTACACTTAGTGTTAGTTTCCATCAATTATTTTATTTTTGTGTTTGTTTACTTGGTTGTTGAGTGTTTTCTTATTTTTGTTTTATATATTCATCCTCAGCTCTGCCATGTGTTTGCACCTTTGTACTTTTGCAGGGTCGAGTAGATTTTGATGACAAAAGCAGCTGGGAGTATCTCTTCAAGGATTATTGGACTGATTTAAAAGAGAGGTTATCTCTAACACCAGAAGAGCTTGATCAAGCTAAAAATCCTTGGAGAGGTTCTGATTCACATGCTGGGAAGCAGGAATTGGCTGATGAACTTTACGACGTGCATAATGATGGAGGATCAGGATCAGACAGTTTTGAAAATGCAGAAGTCACTACCTCTAAGAGAAGGAAGCCCAAAAAACGGTTGAGGTCTCGCGCAAAGGAGAGAGATTCACCAGGCTCAGCATCAGGGGCTGGGGGGAATCTGCAGATGAAAGTGTTGAGTGGGCATCGAAGGAGCTTTTGGAGTTTGTTATGCACATGAAGAACGGTGATAAATCTGCCTGTTCTCAATTTGATGTACAGGCTCTGCTACTTGAATACATAAAAAGGAACAAACTTCGTGATCCTCGGCGCAAAAGTCAAATAATATGTGATTCTAGGCTTGAGAATTTGTTTGGGAAACCACGTGTGGGCCATTTTGAAATGTTAAAGCTTCTTGAATCTCATTTTCTTTTGAAAGATGATTCGCAGGCAGATGATGTTCAAGGGAGTGTTGTTGATACTGAAGCTAATCAGTTGGAGGCTGATGAGAACTATGATGCTCTTACGAAGGCAAGTAAAGATAAGCGACGAAAATCACGTAAAAAGGGCGAGGGGAGAGGACTGCAATCTAATGTTGATGACTATGCAGCAATCGATATGCACAATATCAATTTAATTTACTTGCGACGTAGTTTGCTCGAAGGTCTAATTGAAGATACAGAAGCATTTCATGATAAAGTTGTCGGATCTTTTGTGAGAATAAGAATATCTGGCAGTGCTCAAAAGCAAGATTTATATCGGCTGGTCCAAGTCATAGGTGAATATATAGATAACTATCTAACCTCTGCATGAATTTCGACCTGGGCCTGGAAGGCAAAAGTCATTTGAGATTTTAAAGTTTTTATATGATGTTGTGTGTAGGTACAAGCAAAGCTGCCGAGCCTTATAGAGTTGGCAAAAAGATGACAAGCTTTATGCTGGAAATATTAAATTTAAACAAGACAGAGCTTGTATCAATTGATATAATCTCAAATCAAGAATTCACAGAGGTGATTAGTGTTAACAATTTTGTTTCTGCCCTTGCGTGTTTATGTGGTTTCAATGCAAGGGAGAACTTTTAGTCTATCTTTCGAGTGAAAAATTGGTGTGTGAATATTAGTGGATTTTCTTCATTGTACAACTACCAATAATAAATGAAGTCACGAACATGAATCATGTTTTTTTAAAGTCAATATAATGCTTGATGTTTGTTTTTCTTTTTTGATATGCAATGTTGGTTTTGAGTGGCTTTTTTTATTATTTTTTTGCTCTCTTTACAAATCGGCGGCAATGCCTTTTTCTATATGATTATCTCGTCATTAAACTGGATTTTCTTATATTTTTTTAGGATGAGTGCAAGCGTCTGCGTCAGAGCATAAAATGCGGACTTATCAATCGGTTGACTGTGGTAATGTATCTTTGTTTTTATTCATCTTTTTAAGTTGCTGCATGCTCTTTGTCCTGAAAAGTCATTTGTTGCTTGTAGGGTGACATTCAGGAAAAGGCCATGGCAATACAGGCAGTCAGAGTTCAGGATGTAAGGTTTTTTATATGATCTATTGTCGTAATACTTCACCTATGATCTTACTTGCTAGTTTTGGAATATTATAAATTTTCATCATGAGTAATGTCGAACCAAAGTAAAATGTTGGCGGTAAGAAGAAATGATCGACTACCAATTGAAAAATGGATGGTTAAGCTTCGAAGGAACAGATGGTCAAATTGGCGATATTTTTGTAATCTCATTCCCATATTCCGCCTTTATTTCATAAATTCCTTTGCAGTTGAAAAAGAGCTGAGTTGACTGATCGTATAAGGTCCTGAACTTGACAGTAATGCTAAATAATATCTGGTTAGCAAAAATCAATGGAACATTCTTCTTCTTCTTCTTCTTCTTTATTAAAAGAATAAGAACTCTAAAGGCATGCATTTCTTTGGCGTTGTGAAGCATCCTCTGCAAGGTTTGGAGGAATCAATGGTTTCAATAAATCAACTGGTATAGCTTGTAATTCTCACCTCATTTGGCTTGCATCCCAACTATTAGTCAACTGGCTTAGACCAGTAGAAGTTTTCTATGATGGGGCCTCTTTCACTACAACCTTTGGTTATGTTAATGAACTAATACGTGTGTCAGCCAAATTAGCGACCGACTCTACCTTAAATTAATTACAAGATTACTTGGTATTAGATATGTCTTCTAATCACTGAGTCTGTTTTTCAAGCAAACCAGTAGACCAGAATCACTTGATTAAAAGAATAAGAACTCTAAAGGCATGCATTTCTTTGGCGTTGTGAATCATCCTCTGCAAGGTTTGGAGGAATCGATAGTTTCAATAAATCAACTGGTATAGCATGTAATTCTCACCTCATTTGGCTTGCATCCCAACTATTAGTCAACTGGCTTAGACCAATAGAAGTTTTCTATGATGGGGCCTCTTTCACTACAACCTTTGGTTATGTTAATGAACTAATACGTGTGTCATCCAAATTAGCGACTGACTCTACCTTAAATTAATCACAAGATTACTTGGTATTAGATATGTCTTCTAATCACTGAGTCTGTTTTTCAAGCAAACCAGTAGACCAGAATCACTTGATTAGTATCTGTTTCCTTCTAAAACATGGAATCTCCCTAGGTACTATATGATTTAAAACTTTCTGGGATTCATTTTGTTTCAGATAGAAATGCCATAGAAGATTATATAAGTGAACTCTTGGATGGGTGTTTTGTGTTTAATGTGGAATATTTTGCTCATGTTGTCACATTGACAATATCTATTACTTCTTCCTGTAATATCCTGCGTTCCCCAAACTCCAGCCAAACACTGTGGTTTGTCAAAGCAACTTTATTTTTCAGGAGCATATGCTTAACCCTAAAAGTAAATGATATTCTGTGAATGTACTTCTGATGTAGCCTCAATATTTAGCTAAGAGTCTGTGTCCTTGTTTATTGAATACTGCTTTCATTCTTTATGTTGTGGGTATGTAATTAATGTAATGAAGTTTGTTTTTTCTTTGACGGCCAATGCTCTTTCTTCTGATGCAGTCGTTAGAAGCAGAGATAACACGTCTCAGTCATCTCCGTGATCGAGCTAGCGATATGGGACACAGAAAGGAATATCCTTTGCTCTTGAAGTTTTTATCAGCAATTTATCTTGTTTAACTTCATTCAATTGTTTGCTTGTCATTGACATATTATGTCCGTGTTCTCTGACTTCTGTAGCCTCATGCTGGATGCTTCAATAGCTGTTGAGTTCATTGGTATTCTAAATCTATTTGTGATTTAGCTTAACAAATCCTCTAGTCTTGTAAACTGGTTGAGATAAAGGTGCTGCATGGTATCAGCTCTTGAAGTCAAACTGAAAAATGGAAAGTTTACTTGATCTATAAATAATCTCTACTTTCAGTGTCACGATACTTTACCTTCAAGCTGCAACCCATTATATTTTTCTCTTTGTTGGGTTCCAGGATTTGAAAGTTTCTTGGTTAGAATAACGGATATATACGGACATCATGCTCGTCCCTTTTCACCTTGCTGCTCCCCTTTTCTTTTAAGGGAGAAAGTGGCCATTATTATGTAATCAACAACTGCCATATTCTGGACTTGGCCTTTTTCTCCTTACAGTTATATTAATAAGACCTTTAAGATTCATTTGAACATCTCAACAATAGTATATTTCTTGAGGAAAAAAAAAAGATTGTGTGAACTCAATTCATATGATAGTGACTAGTAGGCTTGTTAGAAACTTCTATACATGATTGCTATGTAGACAGAACTTGTAACTGTTGTGAAGATTGCTATATATGCATGATGCATTATCATTCTCCTTATCTGCATCGTTGTGCACAGTATGTGTTCATTTGCTTGAAACAAGCAAGCATGTAAGGTTTAATTGATTACAAACGGTTATTGACGATCTGATATGAAGTTCCAATATTGTTTTGTGGTAGCTTATCCAGTTAAATAGCTCCTTTTTAAGCAGAAGGGCTAGAATGTGTTATGTCGATCTAGGATTGGATATAAGCATACTCATCCATAGAAAAAGAAGGGAAATTTGATCAATTAGAAGACTATAACACCCTTCTTTATTCTATTATGTCACAATCATTGTTTTTTAGCTATAGAAAATGGTTGCATTTCCTTTGGATAGTTAAGTAGCCCTTGACTTCTGTTCACGCTTAGAGAATGCGTAGAGAAGTTGCAGCTTCTAAAGACACCTGAGGAGCGCCAGCGTAGATTGGAAGAAATTCCAGAAATACATGCTGACCCAAATATGGATCCAAGTCATGAGTCTGATGAAGATGAAGGTGAAACAGAAGATAATAGACAAGGTTCTTTCCCTTTCAAACCTAACCTTCTAATACTGATTATAAGTTTTTTCTTTTATTTATGAAATACATTTTGGTGTTCCAGAGAACTCTCTCAGACCAAGAGGTAGTGGCTTTAGCAGGAGAGGGAGGGAGCCAATGTCCCCCCGAAAGGGAGGTTTTGCTTCAAATGATACGTGGGGTGGATCAAGGAGTTACTCAAGCATGAATCGGGAGCTAAGCAGAAATATGTCTGATAAAGGTTTCTTGAACAAAGGGGATGATGTTGGAGCTGGTGAGGCTGCGAATGAGAATTTGTGGGGTCAAGGAAGAGAGAAACAAACACAGCAGTCCCAGAGTTGGGAAATGCCAAAAACTGCTTCAAATGCATCTCAGACTACGAATTCTATGGTAATATCAGAATCTGTTCCTAGGGTTGTGCCGGAGATTTCACCTGCAACTCCCTCTACAGTGGTTGCACAATCTGCTGCTAAAGTGAATGAAGCAGAAAAAATATGGCACTATCAGGATCCATCTGGAAAAATTCAAGGACCATTTTCCATGGTGCAGCTGCGGAAATGGAATAATACTGGATATTTCCCTACTGATTTGAGGATATGGAGAAATACTGAGACGAAAGACGACTCCATACTTTTGTCTGATGCACTGACTGGAAATTTCCAGAGAGATGCTCCGGCAGCGGATGGTAGTTTTCTGAAGACTCCATTAGTCCAGAGTCTGCATTTACCATCTTCATATACAGGGAATGTTGCCCAAGCTGCTCCAGCTCCAGTTGAGGTCCCCAAGTACTCTACAGATAGGTGGGGTTCTGGGACAAATCTCCCATCTCCTACTCCAGGACAAACTGCCACAAGCTTGACAAAGGGGCAAGTGTTTGAAAGCCAATGGTCACCAACTCCTGCTCAACCTGTGGGTTCTGTCTTAGGAGCCAACCAATCGTCGGGTGGCAATGTAGAACTGCAACGTGCTACTGTTATCTCTGGGACTCCATCAAAAATGTCTCATGGAGTGAGCCCAGTGCCTAAGCTAGAAACAGGCATGCTTTCGAGTTCTTCAAATGCTCCTCAAATGCATTCTCAATCAATGTTGCCAGGTGAATCACCGAAGGTACAGGTTAATACCCATCTGCATTCAGCACTTGATTCTAGTGGAGCTTCAGTTAATGCAGCTGTTGATATGAGAAGTCTCCAGAACCTGGTTCAGCCGGTGACTAGTGGTAACTCTTTTGTTGGGACACATGGATGGGGGCCTGGTTCAATTTCAAGGCCAGAAATGAATGCCTCACATGCTGCAGTAGCTGGGACTGGATCTCAAGCATGGGGAAGTACCCAATCCCAGAAACCAGAGGCAAATAATCTGGTTTCTATGTCCTCACAGCCCAGTGCTTATGGTAACTGGGGCAATGCACCAACCACTTTCCAGAACCCCACTTCATCCTTGACCACAGGAAATCCAAGTGGGGTTTCCCCCATGCCAGGCACTGGCACCAATCCGTGGAGAGCTCCTGTTCCTGGACCGTCAAACATTCAACCTTCTGCTCCTTCCAGCGGACCATGGGGCATGGTTATTACAGACAACCAAAGTGTTGCTCCAAGGCAAGGGTCAGAAAATCAAAATACTGGTTGGGGACCAATTCCAGGAAATCAAAACATGGGCTGGGGAGTATCCTTACCTGCAAATTCAAATCCAGGTTGGGTTGGGCCTGGTCCAGTCCCAGCAGCTGGAAATGCAAACCCCGCTTGGGTTGCTCCAGTTCAGGGACAAGCAGCACCGGGAAATGCAAATCTTGGTTGGGTTGCTCCTGTTCAGGGGCAAGCTCCTGGAAATGCATTTTCAGGTTGGGGACCATCTGGTCAAGGGTCAGCACCGATAAATGCAAGCACCGCATGGGTTCCACCCAGTCAAGGGCCACCACCTCCTGGGAATGCAAATACAAAAATTGGTCAGTGCCTACTGGGAATGCAGGCACATGGGGAAGTGACATGAAGCAAAATGGAGATAGATTTTCGGGCCAGAAGGAAAGAGGTTCACATGGTGGAGATTCTGGTTATGGTGGAGGCAAACCATGGAATAGGCAGTCGTCATTTGGCAGAAGTGGCGACTCTTCCAGACCTCCATTTAAAGGGCAGAGAGTGTGCAAATACCATGAACATGGGCATTGCAAAAAAGGAGCTTCATGTGATTATTTGCATACTTGAGAGCTTTAGGAATTTTTGGGCAGCATAGATTAGTTAATCTCTGTACAGTAATTTTATTTGATAGAAGTTTGTTGTTATAATAATCGTCATTCGATGCTTTATATTAGTAAAACCTTTTGCGTTAGCTCCATCATTTCCCATCCTTGGATATTCTTCTGTGTAGGCGCATGGCTGTATGCCCTCCCATTCTGTTTAACAGTTTATTTGAATGCTTGTACTAGATGCTTGGGATCATTTGGTCCGCTTCCATATAAAGTTAGGACCCTTTTGGTTTGGATAGCAGCTAGGTTGTTGGTTGAGCGATCGTTTTTTTTCAATTATTATTTTGCTTCTAATTTATAATAGTTTATGCTTATAAGTTATGTGTGACATGCCTAAGATTATTACCTGATTGTCAATTTATTATTTCTGGGATTCACCATACTAAATCCCGCAATAGTTATAATATCATCAATGCGTTAAATCATATGGCATGGGAAGCAAATCTTTTTAAGTGCCAATCTATAAGTGCAATAATGCAATAATTGGAAGCAAATCTATTATTGAATAACATAAACGGATGCGTAATAACCGTTGTCCTCTGATTTAGTGAAAACGTTAGGGTTTTATTCTACACAATTTGTCTCTGTCAGTCACTTTATTACATTATCTAAAGTGTAAATAACTTTAATTCATTATCTAAAGTCCTAAACTAGGGCTCAAATCCTTCCCCCAAATGTTAATTTTCTGTCTAATTGTGGACTTGTAGGATTCTATCTATGACAGGAACGAAAAATAAATGAAATCCAAATTAATGTATTTACCTCCCTTTGAATTGGATACCCTGGTTATCACACGAAAAAAACCTCAAAGATATATGCATAACTTTAAAAAGATAATAATAATAATAAATAAATAAATCTTAACGCGAGGATTTCATAAGGGGTATGCAATTGGTAAAACGCACCAATAAAAGTAAAGCTGCAAAGGAAAGTAGGAAACGAACAACATCACGCAAACACAGAAAGCGTTTTCAACAAGCCAGTGAGCAATAAATAAATAAATCGTTGAAACAAATTCCTCTCTTTTCAATTCTTTCTATCCAACAGTAACTAACCAAATCCTCGCCTCCCTCTCTCCCTACCTCTCTCTCTCTCTCTCTCTCTGTAATTTTTCATTTCACTAATTCACTCTTCTTAGATCCAAAATAAAATGCACAAACTTCAATCCTTTTTGTTTGGATTAGCCTCTTGCTGACTTTTTTGTTAACAGATTTGAACAGAAATTTAATGGCTCTTTGCAATCGAGTGGTTAAATCAGGCGTTAATTCTGCGATTTTCTTTGCAAAATCTCGAGCGATTAACACTTCTTCGTCGTCGAGTTCATTTTGTAACAGATTTGATTACCGGCATATTTCGCAGCTCGTTAAACCTAACAATAAACGCGCATTTCTCGTTGACACATTAGCACTGGTATAGTTACTTCGATTTCTATCTCGAAGTTTCTGTTTCATTAAGTGGAAAAATAACTGAATTTCTTTTTTCTTGAAGGTGAGAGGATTGGAAGCACAAGGCGTACCGTCAAAGCAAGCGGAGGCGATAACGGCTGCGATTACTGAAGTGTTGAATGATAGTTTGGAAAATGTCTCTCATTCTTTTGTTTCTAAGTCAGAAATGCAGAAGGTAGTAATTTTTTTTTACTTTGATTTTTTGCTGCGCGCAAAGTGTTTGATGTTCTTAGTGTGACTTTTGTGCTGTTTGAAGAAGCTGATGTTTGTTTTATTTTTTGGAAATTTTGTAGAGTGAAATGATTCAAGAATCGAATCTGTCCAAGTTTAAGTCTGAAGTACAGAGTTCTCAGGTACTGTGAATTTGATTGATTTTTATTAAGATATAATTTCTCTCTGTTTGGTTATTTCTATGGTTTTATATTGATGAATTATTAGGTTTAGGGTAACCTAAGTGTTTTAGTTTTTGCATTTGTCGAAGCTCGCGAGTTTGAGTTAAGAATTGCTGATCGAACAATAGCTTATTCATTTCTTTTCTCCTTTTAGGTGCAAAATATAATCGTCTTTAATGGATTTGTAGACGTAATTATGTGATCTTGAGTAATATTTATGATTAGCATACAAACATTTTTTATAAAGATTGGTTGAAGAGATTTTAACAAAATTCAGTGTGTAGGATATCTTTTTGGTACGTATATTTAAACATGGTTTTAGGTGCACTTTCTGTGGGTCGAGGCTGGAAGTACACATTTGTATCTGGAAATATGTTGGTTGTTTTCTGACAAATTTGGAGCTTGTCAAAGGAAAATTCACTCTTTAACCTGTTTAGAATTTTGAGTGATTACATTGGAAGAACTTTTTGCACCTTTTAGAAGCCTGTGGGTTGGTCACTTTAGGAGGGCGGAGAGGAGTGAGGTGGCACATTATAAAATAAGTAAATGTTGTGTACTGTATTGTATATCAGGTTGGTCACTTTAGTGTCATATGTTTCACTTTTTGTTGGTATTTCCTTTCAGTTATGCATCTACATTACAAATTTGGTTCATTAAGTGGAATTTTTTTATTGCTCAAAAGCATTTCTAAATGTTAGCTTTTTAGAATTCTACTTTTAGTAGATTTTTTTTTTTTCCTTTGTAGTTTGGAATGCCATTTGTAGAGAATATAAGTGATAGGGCTGCTATGCATGTACACTTGCATCAGTTTTACATACCTATATTTCTGTGCTTTTCAAAGTAATTAGAAGCTGCTGTTTAGTAATTCCTTGAGACAGGAGGACTAGATGATTTTTTTGCAATTTATCCTCTGGTAATTGTTGTGTTAATTCTTTCTGAAGAATTCTCCATGATCCAGGAGCATCATTTTTCTATGTTGCAACGGGAGACTGAAAAATTACGAGGTGACATAGAGAAAATGCGCAGTGAACTGAGGTCTGTGTTTGCAGTTGTTTTCTGCCAGATGCATGAATTTTTTTATGCTGACGCTCACTGTTTAAGATTTTTCTCTCTACAGATATGAAATCGATAAGGTCACTGCTGGACAGCGTTTGGATTTGAATCTTGAAAGAGGGTAAGGAAAATCAACTTTATTACTACTCTACCCAACCAGCAATTGAGTCTAAATGTGCAGTCTGTGGGTTAATGCTGAGATTCCCCAAAGTAAAACTTACACTCTAATTGTTCAAATCTTAGTTCTTTACTCAATTTTTAACTTCAATAACCCAAATATGGAGGTTATGTTGTTAGGCTATTTGAACAGGGCCTCTGCTGCTTTGATTGTTAAGAGTCTAGTTAAATCCAGACAACAGAAGAGAGAGTGAGAGATAGAAAACAGATGACTGATATTAGTGTCTGGTTTTTTATCATACAAAATGAAATTAAAAGACCTGTTAGAAAAATGTAATTTATAATGTGCTGATCCCTGGTGCCACTTGTAAGGAAAATTTTCACTCTGCCATCCATGTCAGTTCTATCCCCTGATGTTACTTTGATACTTTAGATTTTTAATTGCTTCATATTGTATTATTTATCCGAGTGCAGGCGCATACGTGATGAGCTGGCAAATCAGAATGCAGAAACCACCAATCTCACAAACAAGCTCGACCGGGTGAGCATAGTGATTTCAAGTGAAAATAATGTCTGCTGTCTACCTTTTTGAGTAATGGCATACGAACTTGGTTCAATTTGAAATGTTTGACTGTCTGCAGGAAATTCATGCATTGAGAGCCCACTTGGAAGCAGCAAAATACGATGTGATTAAATACTGCATAGGTACACTGGTCTCCATATGTGCAGTTGGCATTGCAACAGTCCGTATCTTGTTATAGTGCTTTGGCAATTCATTGCACAAGTTCTACGAAATTATAAATTTCCCTTTTTTCATTGCAACTGTCAGCATAACAAAATCAAACACTACAGTAGCATTGTTTGATAGTCATTTGTTGTATCAAAAACAGGGATGCCTGGTTGGTTAGAACAATTATTAATTTTCCCTGAGAATTCCTCTAGGCATTGTTTTGTGCAACCGCTAGTTTTAATGCCATAAAAAAAAAACCTAAAAAAGATGGCAATGATTGAATGTACTTTAGGAAGTCACCCATATTTTTCAGCATATGAATGGGATGGGATACTGTGAAGTTTGTAAAATGGTGTTATTTTGCCACAAGAAGCACATGTGTGCCAGTGTAACACTAATTTTGTGAAGATTATGTGTTATATGGTTTCCTAGAAGTCCGGACGGTTGCTTTTATGGGTTAGTTCAGATACTTCCTGATTGCTTTTTTACCAAAACTTTAATAGCATTCTAATGGCAACCGATTGGGAATTCCTAGTTTTTCCATTAGGTATTTGTATGGGCAAAATAGCATAAGCCTGAACTATATTCCAGTTTTCGTATGTATGTTCGCGTGGTTTGGGATCCTTTCGCAGTTTAGAGGCCAATGACTCGAGGCAAAGATTGTTTTTAGCTGCGCTTCTGTATTTGATGGATTGATTTTGATGACTGGTGTGCCATTGATTGAAACCATTTTCCAGTATATTTATAAGCTTTTATCTATCTCAAATTATCGTCTTGTTATATCATTCTCTAAACGCTGCAAAGCGTTACTTGACAGTTACATCAATCTGTTATTACTATATCACCATCAATAATAAACCTTGTCCCTTCACCCTCTCCTACAAACATATTTTGTACTTTACGATTTCAGAATGCATATTTGATTATTTTCTGGCTCTTGGCTGAATATTGTTTGCGACTGATCTCAAGTTTTCATGTATGAATGATTGTTATTCTCTACTTTTTGTCGTCCAATAACACTTGTAATTAGCAGGCCATATGTGGGATTTTTTTATTTGGGTTTTCATGGTGCATCTATTTGAAACTTTCAATAAAGAATTAAGAGTATGACCGATAAGCTTGCTAATATTGAATGTGAAGACCGTAAAAAGAAAAAAACAATTGTACCCAAAGAAACGAAATCAGATTAGATCTCTAGCTGTAATGTATCAAAATACCTTTGAAGGTACCATCAGAGACAGACACCAAGAATTCGTGCTCTTTCATCGGAAAGACAGAATAAACCAGGACTATCTGTTTAGGCATTTAGATGCTGTAGATTCCAACCATTAAAAAAAAAAAGCATAAAGCCGGCTCGCTGTGAGTTCAGACACAACTAGCGGGTTCTATAGGTTTGTAGGGTGAGTCGAACTCAAACATGCAAACTGAATCTTACAAAAAATTGTTTATCAATTGTACAATTTCAAATCAAAGCTCTTGAAGAAGCTTTAATTTCTTGAAATTAAGAAACTTCTGCTCTCCCTCTAGGAATTCGTCTACCAGGCATGCTTAATTTGAAGTTTTGAACCACTACTCGCACATGAAACTTTAGTGACAAAGAGGCACAAAGTCGGGTGAAGTAAGAAACACACACAAAATAAATAACCTTATTGAGACTCCAAGACTATATGTGAATCCATAAACAACATGTTTTTATTAGTCAAGAGAGAGAAATAACTTGACTCTGTATGGGGATTAGCCTTCTCCTCCTTGAAACAAAGACAATAAATTAACTACTACCATTTCCCCCTTCCCTTCCTCCTTTTGACTTCAAAAGGGACAGTTCAACCTATAAGTTGGCACAGCAACAAGTCGAACAGCCCTTGGTGCAGTGAGTCCAAACACATCATTCATATCGAGCTCACTAGGCTTCATTCCATGAGGCAGCTCCCACTTAAAACAATGAAGCAAATGAGCCACAGCTAACTCCAATGCATACAACCCGAGTTGCATACCGGGGCAAGATCTCCTACCCGACCCGAATGGAAGAAACTCAAAATCCATCCCTTTAAAATCTGGCGCCTTACCATCTAAAAACCTACAGGGCTTAAACTTATCCGGATCTTCCCATGCAGTCGGGTCACGCCCAATAGCCCATGCATTGATCATGACACGGGATCGTGCTGGGATTCTATACCCGTTAAGGACACTATCCTCAGCTGTTTCATGCAGGAGGAGAGGAATTGGAGGGTGGAGACGTAGGGTTTCTTTCATTGCACATTTGAGATAGGCAAGTTTTTCAAGGTCTGATTCGTGGACTGTCCGGTTCAAACCAACCACGTCCATGAGTTCTTGTTGGACTTTCTTCAGGTCTTCTGGGCTCTTCATTAACTCTGCCATTGCCCATTCTATTGCTGACGCCACAGTTTCAGTTCCACCAAACATCACATCCTGTAAGGGCACAAGTGATAAATGTTTATTTATAAAACTTTTACTAATTTCTACAAGATTGTTTTAGTTTTAACTAAAATGAACAGATTGAAAATTTATTGAATTAAATATTTTATATTGAAATCTGAATAATTTTATATGAAGTTTGATAGTTTCTAAACCAAACATTTAATATATAACAGTCAAAAGGAATAATAAAAAAAATTCATGAATTCTTTTGCTCATAGGAGTCAAGGGTAACAAGTATCCCTTATAAATAAATTAATTAATTAAGAATCCAATTTAATAATTTGATGTCATTTTATTTTATTTTTTTACTTTTTAATATCTTTAATTTATTTGCTTGTTTTAAAATATTTTTAGAATTGATAGTCAAAATAAATTATCAATTATGTTAGTATCTTTCTTAACTTGGTATGTAATTATATATCGGATCAAAAGTAAAATATTCTAGTAACAATTATTTTATAAGAGTTGATGTTTTTATTTATGATTATAGATTTCTTAGTTTTTTTTTTTTTTTTTGGTATATATAATTTTTTTATAATATAAATAATCTTATATTAAGTATTAAATACCATAAATGCATGATCTTTGTATAAGAATCCATAGAGAAATTTTAAAATATTATATATTCTATCTCTCTCTCTCTCTCTTGTATCTATCTTTCTCTAAGAATAGATAATTATTCCTTAAATAGCATAAAAAGCTTCCAAATCTATATACAATTAAGTAATTTGAGGTGTCTAGAATATCATTTATTTAAACACTTTCCTTATTTTGTATGGATTGAGTTTCTCCATTATCAAATCTGTCAATAACTCAAATTCATTGAAATGGGGTTAGGTGGAAAAATAGGAACGCAAATATTTTAAAGGAATTTCTCCTAAATTACACGTATTTCAATTTCATAATCTCTTTCCCAAAAACTATTTTCGATTTTAATTTAAAAAATGTGATTGTTTCAAGAGATAAGAATCACAATTCAACTACCATTAAAAACTAGCCATTGGTTCACAAAAAGAGTGGTAACAAAAACATGCTAAGTAGGAGATTCTAGCTTATTTTGATTTTAAATTCATGTCATTGTAATCAAGCAAAAATAAAAGAGAGAATATCATATAGAAATGATTCTTTACCATGATGAGGGCTTTGATATTATCTTTATTGAACTTGACGGTGGACTTTGATTCATCAAAATCGTTTTTGGAAGCGCTTTCGCTGTAAAAGGCAAGCAATTCATCTACCATGTCCGTGTCTACCTCTTCATTTTCATCTTTGGTGTTGACTTTTTCGCTATTCTTTTTCTTGACTATATGCTCATCAATAATTGTATCAATGAACCCGTCCAGAGATTTCCGTGCTTTAGCTAGCCTCCTATCGAAATCTTGTCCATGAATCCAACCCAACCAAGGAAAGAAATCACCAATATTGAAAGCTCCAAAAAGCTTTGAAAATTCTTGCAGAATTGCCATGAACTCTTCTTGCCCTTCATTTGAAGATGATCCGAAAGCAGCCTTATACGTTATGCTCCTTGTTAATGCAAACACCAACTCACCAACATTAACCGGTTCACCAGTTTTTTCCAACACTTGTCTAATTGTAAATTCCACTTCATCTCTCACCGAGGCCCAAGATTCAGCCCTTTTTCGGCTAAACAGTTTCATGACACAGATTTTTCTCGTTTGACGCCAGAATGGACCATAGTTGGCAAAGGCCATATCTGCTCTATCATACGTCAAGTAGACAATTGCAACATTTGCAGGCCTGTTGGCATAAACAACATCTTGGGCTTGAAGAACTTCACGGGCCATATCTGGTGTTGAAACCGCCACAACATGAAGCCCTCCCATTTGGAGGTGGCAGAGGCCACCATATCGTTTAGAGAGAGCGGCTAAGCCACGGTGAGTCAGTTCATCCACCATGCCCAAGTTGCCAATGATAGGATACCCTTTTGGGCCAGGAGGGTATGGGAGCTTTCTTCGCGTTGGAAACAACAAAAATATCGAGACAAACAGAGAGACTATGATGAAGAGCAAGGGTGAAAATTGAAGAGACTGGAGAAGTAGGAGAGAATCCATGGTGACTTTTGGGTAACAGGAAATGACTTGTGAATGGTTGCATTTATATGGAGAGGTTAATTATCCATGATGGGTACGTGGTAGAATTCCATGGCCGCATTTGGAGATTCATTTAATTATCCAGATTTGATTGGCCATTTTCACAGCGTATTTGCACCACTTGGCTCCGTTTCTGTTTTTGGCCTTTTTTAGCACAAGTTCAAAATCCTACTGACAAATGTAAGAAAGTAACATGACAAATGTAAGAAAGTAATATATATCATATTCGTAATCTTCATCTAACGAGTTAAAGCTTTTGAGTAAAATAATTTTTTGATATGATATCGAGTTTGATCCGATATTATTAAGTTTAAGTCTTAACATCCTCATTTTTTCAAGCATTCAGCATAAAACAATGTAAATTTGTGCAAGTTTCAATTTTAAATGCTTGAGCTTTCACTTAAAGAGATATGTTAGAAAATAATATAAATAATATCCTAAACATTATCTAATAACATAAATTTTTGAATAAAATGGTTTT